CTGCAATACAAGAAGAAATGCCATATATGTTATGAGGTCATTCAACATATTCTTAGTTGCTACTTATGGGAAAAAAAGTTTGCAGCATTTGGCAGCATGAGTGATAGTAGTAATAATAATAATGAAAAAAAAATAATAAATAAAAAAATGGGCAAATGGAATATTCTTCTTAATGAATGTACTGATTTCAAAATAATAGTGATAGGAATATATGAATAATAAAAAAAAAATCATTACACAAATGAGAATGTACGATTAATTCAAATAAAATCTATGTACCATACTTCATGCTCGTTATCTCTGTTAAAGCAAGCAGGTTACAAAACGTGATAAAATTCTAAACTGGGCCGCTATACAACCTAATGTTTAGCAGTAAAGAGATACACCCCTAAACACTGAAGTATATACTCTCTCTCTATGTATGTGTGAAGCCTATGACCACTCAGGAAAAAAATGATAAGGAGGTCATAGAAATAGGTCTAATTTACTCTACATAGGATCAGGGCCTTTATTACGTCATAATATAAGGGCCCAGGGATATTATATATAATTATTAATGATAGCTATTACCATACACGGCAGGATATGAACCCCATCTTTTCTGTGCAGACATTTAAACACTGGGACGCGTATGGGGGCAGAGTTCGGCAGTGAAGCTTTGTAGAAGGAAAGGGAATAGAGATTGAGTATTTTTTTTTTAAGACGATGGAAAGTTGCATTATATTGAAGGGATTAACTTTTTTTTTATGTTAGTTTGATTTTCATGTTATGATTGTTCCTATCGTTATCGAAATAAATAATCAAAGATGAAGGATTATTGATATTATTATTATTGATATCTATTTTATTCGAAACTCTAGCCGAAGTCAGCCCCATACCGTGCGAAAAAATAACCTTGTGTAGGGTACAAAACCACAGAGCTGCAGACTATAACATGGACTGATTGCAAATGTATAAGATCACAGTGCCACCAAGCCACAGAATTCTCTTAGTGTGTGCACCAAAGAACACACACACACACACACACACACACACACACACACACACACACACACACACACACACACACACACACACACACACACACACACACACACACACACACACACACACACTCACTCACTCTCACTCTCTCGCTGCCACAGTCCAGGGCATTTCTTCGCTATCCCGTTGAGCTCTAAGGATTTCTAAGTGTGGAGGCTATGCTTAAGTGGCGAAGCTCTGCCTAATCTTATTCACTTTTAAAACATGGGCCGCACTAACATTCTAGGGAAGCTGATCTCTCACTAAAATCTAATGGGCAAGCAGATCTTCCAACTTACAGGTATCAAAAAGGAAAAAAAAAAAATATATATATGTATATAAATATATTGGTTACATGGAAAATAAAATGTTAAAAAATGCACTCCCAAAATGCGTCAGATAAAAAAATATATTCTACGGGCACAGAAAAGATTAATATTGGAAAAGTAATCGAGAAAATCATGCCACATGGGTCAAAATACAGGCCCACGAAAAATGAAAAGCAAAAAATGTGGGGGAAAATAAAACTCCTATAGTACTGCGCATTAAATAGTCGTTAACCATTTCCCAGAATCAACGCACATTCTGCTTCATGTTAGACTTTTACTATTTAACCGTATCGCAGTCGCAAGAGGCACGCTGAAAATCACGTACAAACCAATAACAGCATACTTAAGACACACACATACATACGTACACACCCACTACAACGGCAACGCAAGCATACGCATTTGCAAACCCACAGCACATCGTACTGACACTTGCATATTTCTGTTATAGTTTTTTTCTTTTTCGTTGCGCAAATGCACTTACGGACCACGCATACCGGTGTCTGTGCATGTGACTGAGATTTTACGTGCCTGGAGAACTACTTACCCCAACGCTTCTGTTCTCGAGTCGTCTTTCTTATGATTAAGATCTGTCATTAACGCGGCGTAGACATTTGAACGAGGTAAAAAACAAAACAAAACAAAAAACGTTTTTTTCTTTTGTTTTTAATTAACTAGCACTTCTAAAAAAAAAAAAAAAAAAAAAAAAAAAAGGATTTTTGTCGTCTTTGCCAGCGGAATTTTCGATCTTGCTGGAGAATGCGGGCGAGATTTTAATATCGAAACCTGAATCGCTGCATAGGCCTATCAGCACGTGTTTCCCATCCTAATCACACTACCTCAGTTCATGTTCTTCTCCCTCCCCTCCCCCCACCCCAAACTTAGAAGAACAGGACCCCCCAATAAAAAAACAAGAACAACAATAAACAAAACAAATAAATATATAAATAAAACACAGCCAAAGAACGTCATTCGTAGTTATGAACTCAAATACAGAAAAAAAAAACAGTCAAGGGTTCAACGAGTCAGGGTCGCAGCGGGCATTTTCTCTCTCAATACAAGCGTGTGAGATTAAAATCTTTCGCGCAACACGACCTTTCCAGAGATGTGCAGAAAATTCTCGGCGAGTGACAATGCCGCGTGATGGTCTCGGCGATTGGGGACATGGGGAGAAATCGAGAAAAGAGGGAAGAGAGAGAGAGATGGAGAAAGAGATAGATAGAGATAGATTAAATAGGCAGATCAGATGGGCAGGTAGATAGATGGATAGATAGGCAGATCAGGCGGAAAAGTAGATAGATAGACAGACGGACAGGTAGATAGGGATGCAGATATATGGATATAGATATAGGGGTAGAAGGCAAGTAGATAGGTGGTTAGTTAGATAATCTAATAGATAGAGAGAAAGAGCGAGAAGGAAGAGAAGAAAGAGAAGGAAGAAGAAGGAGGAAGAAGAAGAAGAAGGAGGAAGAAGAAGGAGGAAGAAGAAGGAGAAGAAGAAGAAGAAGAAGACAAGAAAGGAAGAAGTAGCAAATGAGGAGAAGGGGGATGAATATGAGGATGAGGAGGAAAGGGAAGAATAGTAAAAGAATGAAAATGAGAAAGAAGCAGAAGAAGAAGAAGACGAGAAGAAAGGAAGAAGTAGGAAATTAAGAGAAAGGGGATGAGGATGAGGAGGAAAGGGAAGAATAGGAAAAGAATAAGAAAGAGAAAGAGACGGAGAAGAATGAGGAGAAGAAGAAGAAGAAGGAGAAGAAGAAAGATAAGGAGAAAGGGAAGGAGGAGGAGGAGGACGAGGATGCAACGACGTACTTTGCTCCTCCTTTTCTCTCCCAAGATGTTCCCGGCGACGCGGAGACTGACTTCCGAATATTAATGGATTGTTTGTGTCATGTAGTGAATTATGCTTTCGCGGGGAGGGGTGGGTGGGGGGAAGGGATGGGGGGTTGAGGAGGGAGAGAGGGAGAGGGGAAGGGAGAGGGAAAGGGAGGTGAGGGGAGGGAAAGGAAAAGGGAGGGATAGGGGAAGGGAGGGAGAGAGAAAGGAAGGTGAGGGGAAGGAGAGGGAAAGGGAGGGAGAGGAAAAGGGAGGGAGAGAGGAAAAGGAAGGGAAGGGGGGAGGAGTTCGAGATTGAGATGGTAGTGCAGGAGATGGGGGGATGGAGGTGGTGGGGGGGGGGGGTTGGCGAAGGGGATGGGGGCGGTGGAGAGAGAATTCGAGATTGAAGTGGAGATGGGGAGAGGCGTTGAGGGAAATGGTGGAGGAAGGAGGGTGGAAAAGGGGATGGTGGGGGTGGGGGGGGGAGGTGGTGAAGGTGCTTGAACCTAAGAAGAAGAGAAGAAAAAGGGTGGGAGGGCGGGAAAGGGGAGAGGACGAATGAGGGGAAGGGGAAAAGGCGGATAACGGGACGGGAAGAAAGAACATGGGGAAAAGGGGGAGATACAAGTGGATGGAACGAAGGAACAAGGGAAAGAAAAGAATAGGGAAGGAGGTAATGGAGGAGAAGGAGGGGGGAGGAGGAAAAGAGGAGAATGAAGGGAAGTAAAGAAGGGGAACGAGTTGGAACGAAGGGAAGTAACGAAGGGGAAGAAGGGGAGGTAGGAGGAGGAAGGGGAAAGGGAGGAAGGGGAAAGGGAGGGAGGGGAAAGGGAACTTCCAGGGTGCCATAAGAACGCCAAGTGTCCTGGCCAGTAAATCATGTGTCCGACGCCCATGGCAGTGCCCGGGCAACGACTAATTAATGCCTGATTTATGACCATCACTATATCACCCCGCGTGTCAATATTTACGAGCGCAAACCCTGAACGAAAACAACTGATTTCCGTGGGCGAGCGGGCGCTGGGGCGGGCGTCGTGAAAGCATCTCGTCTCGAAATCCTTGAGAAAGGAAAATTCTCCGGGGAACGGGAGGGAAAAGCAATTATTCTGTGAGTGAATAAGCGAATGAATAAAATGAATGACAGATGGACAGGCACGTATGTGATGATTTTTTTTGTAAAAGGAAGTGAAAAAATCGATGTGTGAAGATAAATGAAGTTACATGAATATATGCATATGCATATGAACACGACGCGCACACACACACACACACACACACACACACACACACACACACACACACACACACACACACACACACACACAAATATGGAAGACTATGTATATATGCACCTATACATAACGCCTCAAATTCATCTCAAACGAATCTGGAAAACAACCTCTAACCCTAAGCAAAAATACGAAGACAAAATCAGAACCTACAATTACGAACACACGAAATGCAACGGCCGTACAGGCACATGAAGTTTCAGCCTCCGATACCGCCCTCGTCTCATTTCAAATTTGAATAACGATGATCTTGTCCTAACTACGGAAATTTGGTCCGATTAAAAATTAATGCAATTCGTCTCCCTGTGATTGGACTCCGGGAAAAAAGGTCACTCAGGGTCTCCACTCACAGACGCGACCGCCGCCACTACCTGTCTGTGACTCGAGCAGAAATATCACAGAGGAAAAGAAAACGGGACGAGCATAACTTTAGGAAGGGGAGACTTGTCCATTTTTCATTTTCACGGATCTTCTACAAAGGGATATCATGAGAAAGGAGAATAGGATTAACTTGATAGAAGAGTAGAGTAATTCAGTAATA